GACATTGCTCAGTGTCTCCTGGAGGTGGGGGCAAAATTGTCCCTAGTTGAGAACCACAGTCTTTCATCAATTCTTCCTAAAAGTGTTCACAGCCTCCTAGTCCTAGAAGATTCTTCCTCAAAGTTCCCAGGGTCAAATACACTGGGAAACATTAAATAGTGATAATAGTAATTAGTTTTTTATGCAGTTACTATATCCTATGGACAGTTCTTATCTCATTGAATCTTTACAACAGAAGAACAAGTTAGTTGCTGCTTTAAGCACATTTTTCAAATTAAAAATTGAGCTGCAGAGAAATCAAGTAACTGATCAAGATCATACAATTAATAAGTGGCTCAGGGTTTGTTTCCTTCAGAGCCTGTGCAATTATCTATATACACTACTTCTTGTATAGCCCATTTTTAAATTCACAATTCATACTGGGGTGTTAAGGATAATTATTCTTAATTTGTATTTCTCTCAGACTCTTAGAAAATTATTTTCTGCTTTTGTGCTTCAGTTTTCCTCCTTTTATTTTTTATTGAAATATAATTAACATATGTTAGTTTCAAACGTACAGCATAGCAATTCAATATTTGTCTACATTCTGAAATAATCACCACAGTTAGTCTAGTTAGCATCCATAACTGTGAATAGTTACAATTTTTTTTCTTATTTTCCTTGTGAGGAGGACTTTTATGATCTGCTCTCTTAGCAACTTTCAAATATCCAATACATAGCTCCATGGGGTCGCAGTGAGTCAGACATGACTTGGCAGGCATATGTACACAAGTACTGTTAACTGCAGTGACCTTGCTGTCCACTGTATTCCTGTGACTGATTTTGTACCTGAAGTTTGGACCTTTTTGCCCACCCCATCCCCCCTCTCTGGCAACCACCGATCTGTTTTCTGTATCTATGAGCTTGGTTTTATTTGTTTGCTTGTTTTTCTTTTGTCTTTTTTTTTTTTACATGCCACATATAAGTAAGATCATATGGTATTTATGTTTCTCCCTCTGACTTATTTTAGTTAGCATAATGCCTTCAGGATCCATCTACTTTATAACAAATTGCAAGATTTTATTCTTTGGCTAACTAGTATTCCATTGCATGTTTATCCATTGATATCTGCCTAATTTGTCTCTATACCTTGGCTCTCCTAAATAATGCTGCAATGAACATGGTGTGTGCGTATATCTTTTTGAGTCAGTGTTTTCCTTTTCTTTGGGTAAATACCCAGAAGTGGAATTACTGGATCATAATGTAGTTCTATTTTTAATTTTTTGAGGAAATTCCACAATATTTTCGATAGTGGTTACACTAATGGGACTTCCGTGGTGGCTCAGACAGTAAAGCGTCTGCCTACAGTGCCGGAGACCCAGGTTCGATCCCCGGGAAGATCCTCTGGAGAAGGCAATGGCAACCCACTCCAGTCCTCTTGCCTGGAAAATCCCATGGATGGAGGAGCCTGGTAGGCTGCAGTCCATGGGGTTGCAAAGAGTCGGACACGACTGAGCGACTTCACTTTCACTTTACACTAATTTACAATTGCACCAACGGTGCAGGGCAGCTTTCTTTTCTCCACATCCTCTCCAACTCTTGCTATTTCTTGTCTTTTCTGTAATAGCCATTCTAACAGGTGTGAGATGATATTATGGTTTTGATTTGCATCCCCTGATGATTAGTGATGTGTTAGTGATGCTGAGCTTCCTTTCCTGTGCCTGTAGGCCATCTGTATGTCTTCTCTGGAAAACTGTCTATTCAGATCCCCTGCCCATTTTAAAATTAGATTGTTCTGTTTTTGCTGTTGAGTTGTGTGAGTTCGTATATTTTGAATATTATCCTCTTACCAGATATGTGATTTGCAGATATTTTCTCCCATTCAGTAAGTTGCTTTTTCATTTCGTTGATGGCTTTCCTTGCTGTGCAGAAGCTTTTTAATTTGATGTAGTCTCATTTGTTTATTTTTGCTTTTATTACCTTTGCTTTTAGAGTCAGATCCAAAAAATTATCTCTAAGACCACTATCAAGAAGCTTACCACCTGTGTTTTCCTCTGTGAGTTTTATGGTTTTAGGTGTAACTTCAAGTGTCTGATCCACCTTGAATGAATTTGTGCGTGTGGTCCAAGATCAGTGTTTAGTTCCATCCTCTTGCCTGCAGCTGTTCAGTTCTCTCAGCAGTGTTTATCTGTAAGACCGCTCTTTCCCTATTGTGTACGCTTATTTCCATTATCATAAATTAATCGACCATTCACGCACAGGTTTAATTCTGGGCTGTCCAGTCTGTCACATTGATCTATGTCTATTTTTCTGTCAACACCATACAGTTTTGGTCACTACAGCTTTGTAGTACAGTTGGAAAACAAGCTGGGTGATGCCTCCAGCTTTGTTCTCCTTTATCAAGATTGCTTTGTCTATTCAAGGTCTTTTGTGGCTCCATATAAATTTTAGGATTATGTTCTATTTTTATGAAAAATGTCTTTGGAATTTTGATAAGAATTGCATTGAATCTGTAGATTGTGTTAAACTTAGATAAATGAGAGTCTTCCTGATGGAAGGGCATTCCAAACAGAACACACAGCCTGTGCAAGGGCCCGAACAACTCAGAGGGTGTGCTATGTTTGGTTAATGCTCAGAGAGGAGGAAAGGAAGTAGGAAAACAAGACTAAAGAGAGGAGATTGGGCTCTGCATTGTTTTGCTGGCAGGACTTTTGTAAGCATTTGACTTTGTAGCCTTTACTGTAAAGGCAACAGGGAGCCAGGAGCACCGAAGCAGCATGGTCTGGTTGATGATGATAACTAAAGTCCATAGTGCTTTGTTGGTGGAAAGACCCAATTGACATTAATGCAGTGCTTTGAGCAACAGATAGTAAGTCAGGATGGAGCGAAGGGGTCAAATTTGGGAGAGTTTTAACAAGTGAAACAGGCCAGAGAAAATCTTCCTCTTAAATAGGCTGTAAGAGCAAATAAGCGGCATTTGTGGAAGGGCTGTTTCTATGAAACAAAATGATGTACCGTCTGGGAAGTAGCATGGAAACATGTATAGCAGCTATTTTTGATAATCTGAAGAATTTGAATGAACAGATCCTAGTTCCACAAAATGCTTTTCAGAAAACTGTGCTCTTCCCTGTTTAGACTTCCAACAGAAATTGGATAACCCGGTTATTTAGTGGAAGTACAAGATAAAAGGTAGATTCTAAGTAGTCCTTCTGCCTTTCTAGCCCAGACTACTTTGTCTTTCTCCTCCTTAAATATGCTACCTGGGGAAGATGAATCAGCACTAGTTGGGAATTCAACCAAATGTATTTGAGAAATGAGCCAATAAAAAAATGTTGGGAAATTAGTCCCAGACACTCAATGAATGGTTGTTGGATGGATGAATTGATCAACTTTTAAACTGAGCTTAATGACTTTTAACTTAAGCATATAAAGTAAGATTAGTAGAAAGGAAAAAAAAATCTTCAATTTAAATTTTCCGATTTTATCTTTTATTGATGTAGCTTCTGGGTCACTCCTGAAATATGCTCCAGTATGATGCCATTTGGCTTTTGTGCTTTTGCTGTGCTGGGCTTAGTCGCTCAGTCATATCCAACCCTTTGCGACTCCATGGACTGTAGCCTGCCAGGCTCCTCTGTCCATGGGATTTGCCAGGCGATAATACTGGAGTGGGTTGCCATTTCCTTCTCCAGGGGATCTTCCTGACCCATGGATTAAACTCGGGTCTCCTGCTTTGCAGGCAGATTCTTTACTGTCTGAACCACCATGGGAAGAGGGAGGTGCCACTTTGAGGACACTGAATCCAGGAAGAGACCTAAGCTGGCAGTAAGAGAAAGACAGGACTCTTACTTTAGCAACTTAAATGAGAGGCTTGATGTGGCATGCATGACCAGTTCCCACCATGGGAAGATTTATTATTTAAATCTTCAAAAGGAGCATATAACAAGCATATTTAATCATGTTATTTTTCAAAACATCTTCTTCAAACTGTCCTTTAAAAGTCATCTTCTACAGTTCAGTTTATTTAAAATTAAGCAATATATTTTAGCAACTGATTTCCTAGCCCCACCCCTGGTAGTTTAGAGGAAAAACAGTATTTCTGTTATGTTTCAAAAATCTCTGTAGTTGTGTCTAGAATCATACTTAGTAATAATATGTTCTTTCTAAGAAGTACCTGTTGGGGTTGGCATTCTGAGTGTTATTTCAGATGAAAGGAGCCATACTAAATAATTATTCTTATTTACTAATTTTTCAGATGGACAAAAAGAATCAAAATGGTAAAGTGGTTCAACTAAGACCTCATAGTTCCCAAATTGTATTAAAAGGCTCAAACACAGGTCCATTAGTCAGCAAAACCTGTGTGCTTACTAAAACTGAGTCACTTTAGACTCAGATTTTACCCCTCCATTCTTTCCGTTTCACCTAAATGTTAACATGAACCTGTGGTTGATATGTTGTTTTGTATACCACTTCTGAGATTTTCTTACTTTACTCGTCTTTGCTCCTGAATCTCTGTAGTTACAAATTATGGATGTGTATCAGTAACACATTCCAACATGCATACCTTCCAGTGTTCAAGGAAAAGATCTTGTAATCTCACTGTTGTGGAATATTAATTTTGAAAACTATTTTTAAAGTATCACCTAGATTCAGGAAATAACTATATACATCATTTTTATTATATATTTGAGATAGAACTGTAAATAATGGTAAAAATTTTTACCAAAGGGTTTTTTTATAAAACCAGATATAAAAGTTTTATTACTTGATAAACAAGGATGCCAAATTTAAAACTTCTGAATAAAAGTGATTGCCTTATCTTTTATACAGCAACTTCCTCCACCCCATCCAAAGAAAATAAGAGGAAGTTTTGGATCAAATTATCAGGATCATTGATCCAGACCTGTTTTACTTTGTGATAGGGAACTTGTGTCTTAACAATGAAAATTTATTGTCCTATCTGCAATGAAAGAATTGATATTCTTAATGTTCTTACACATTCTTTTTTTATGTGAACATTTTAGGTGTATCAATATATGCATGAAACGATAACTGTTAATGGCTGTCCCGAATTCCGTGCCAGGGCCACAGCAAAGGTAAGACTTGAATAGCTTTAAAAACAGACGTAACCCCAGTGATCTAGTAATTGATTGTGCGCGTGTGTGTTTCAGGTTTTCTCGTGTGTACACTGTAAGAGAATTTAGACATCAGTGGCAGCCCAGAGTCTAGAACCAGTACTACTTCCCAGGTAAAAATCCTAATGGAAAATTGAACGTTTCTGCTGCTTCTGTAGCTTAAGAAAGGAGAATGATTTCATTAAACTCCCTAAATGTTCATTTGGCACAAGCAAATCTACTGGTTCATCTTATGAAATACTTCTTGGTTTTCTGACACATTCTTCTGATCCAAAAGAACCTGTTCACTATTCAATGAATGGAAATTTATTTGCACAAGTCTAAAGGTTTGACTCAAGCTAGACATGGCAAGAACTCACCTGATACCCACTGAGCAGGATTTTCCCATGTACTACTCAGCAGAGCAGCTGAACGAATACAATATTGAACTAAAGGGAAGGCTCGTCAGCTATTATGGTAGAGACTACATTTGCTCTTGAAAAACTCCAATCCAGAGATTGCAGAGACCCTATGAATGAAAATGTTACAACAGTAGGATCATGAGATTATATGGAAAATAGGCCATAGGAAGTAACAGTTTTAACCTAAAATCACTAGTGCAGTTCTTATTTTATAAGTGCAGAAATGTTATAGTAGATACACATTGCTTTTTAAAAGCTTTTCTCTTTCTAATACTTTATAAGAAATAACTGTTGGAAATAATCAGAATTTTCCATTTAATTCTTTTGTGTTACATCACCTCTTACTTGGTTTCTCTCCTGACTTTTAAGTTTTCATTCTGTAACTGAACACTGGAGACTTGTGACTAATTTTTTTTGTGTGTTTTTTTTAATTTCTTTTAACCCAGGCACAAAAAGGGTATTATTATCATTACATCATGCTTTGCTTGTACTGAAGTGAAACACACACAGAAAAATGATCCCTACATGGTTTAATTAAGGGGAAAGTGAATTATGTAGTATTTTACCATTCTCATTTCTTATTCATGTAGAACAGCAGGATAGCAGCATAATGTTGCAATAGCACAATATTTTCTGGTTGTTTCTGGGCTGTCTGCATTGCATCCATGTCAGCCATTAAAACCTATGCATGACAACAGGGTTTGCATGAGCAAATGCATGTAGCTAAAAACAAGCCATTATTTCCATTTCATTCACTATCTTTCACTAAATGCAGACAATAACATAATGCTAAGTTGATGTGTTAATGCTGTGTGTGAAAAGGAATGTACAGTTGTTGGGAATCAGTATTTTCACAGTATTGAGTAAATCACTTTATAAAGTGATTTACTCTAACCAGCTGTGGTTAAGGCAGGTTACTGGAGGTGGAAAATAAGAAGCAGGCAATATTCTTACTTTATTTCCATGGAAGGGAGGGGGTGAAAACTAATGGTAAGTTGTTTCTTTAACTTATTTTTTTAAACTAATATATATGAATTTTAAAATAAACTTATGTCCATATTAAATTGTATTTTGTACATCTAGGTGTAAAACCATTGACTTCTCATTTTACCTACATTGCTAGAGTAGTTGAAATATTAATTTTAAATATGGGGGAAAAAACCTGTGCCAGATAAGAGGACCTCTCATAATAATATGGAATACTGATGTGAAATAATTATAATCTGTTTGAATCTATTATTTTGTTTTAGCTTTTTTTCTTTTAGGCACTTTCAATTTAGGAAAAAAGAAACTAAATTTGCTAAGCCAGTGGTTTCGCAATAGCAAAATTCTAAATGTATTCATCAGGATACATGTATATGTATATATATGTATGCATATAGAAACATATATGTGTATATATATAAGTGCTCCTTGGTGTATTGAGTAAATATTTATGAATATTTATCAGGTGTCGCTAGTGGTAAAGGACTTGGCCACCAATTCAGGAGATGTAAGAATTGCAGGTTTGATCCCTGGATCAGGAAGATCCTCTGGAGGAAGGCACGGCAATCCATTCCAGTATTCTTGCCTAGAGAACCCCATGTGTGACCATGGGGTCACAGAGTCAGACACAATTGAAGCTACTTCATGCATGCACAAACACCAGGTTAGACTGTGTAATACAAAAAAGTGGAAGCCACAATCTCAGCCCTTAAGGTGCTGGTGATCCACATGTATATAATATATGCAATAATTATAGTTTATGTACCATATGTAGGTATTATACACACCAAAGCTATTTGGAATCCAAGGATAGGAGGAATTGCATCTAACCAAGGTCTCTGGGGAAGATTTTTATGACAAAGGGAGAAATTTATCATAATGGGTAAGAAGTAGAAAGGTGGAAATAGTTGGGCTGAGCTTTACCAAAGAAAGGAATTATAAAGGACATCTAAATGAAGAAAGCCCCCTCCCTTTTGTATTCTTTCTTTCACAGGAGAATGCTATAAAATAGGAGGAGTTGCCTGGTCTACGCACTGCAAATCGTGTGAATAGCCTTATTTCCCTCATTTTATCACCAAATGATCATCTTTTCTTTCAGGCTACAGTTGCAGCTTTTGCAGCTAGTGAAGGCCATTCCCACCCTCGGGTAGTCGAACTGCCAAAGACAGATGAAGGCCTTGGTTTTAACGTGATGGGAGGAAAGGAGCAAAATTCTCCCATTTATATCTCTCGCATCATTCCTGGAGGGGTGGCTGAAAGACACGGAGGCCTCAAGAGAGGAGACCAGCTGCTATCAGTGAATGGAGTGGTATGTTCATAACATAATCAGAGGTTTTTCACTCTAAGTACATCCTCCCCTCCCCCCACCGCTGTTATTGAATCAGTATTGAAATCCTAGAGCAAATCTTTATTTTAATAGTGTCCAAACAACTTCCTAAGCATTGATGGATATCAAACCTACAAAAGAGATAATTTTATAGCTTTGATGTCTCATTTTGTCTTGTTCAGGGATAATAAAGAGGACCTCCTGGGAAAATCATCGCAAGATATTGCAGCTAGTAGAATTTTCCCCACATAATACTCTAGTTGAATTAATACTTAACATAATTTCAAGTCACTTTTATTCAGTTTGTTGTTATTCAGTCACTGAGTTGTGTCTGACTCTGCAACCCCATGGACTGCAGCACACCAGACTCCCCTGTCCTTCATCAGAGATATTAATGAATTTGCTCAAATTCATTTTTTCTCTCGGAGTTTGCTCAAATTCATGTCCATTGAGTTATTCAAAGTTACTGTAAGCAAATATACACATTTAAAAAACAAAGCTAGAACTTTTACCCTATTTATTTTTCATTTTCATTATAGAGGAAGGATGGCTTTAATATGTATAATAATAACACACGTGGAAAAGGCTAATGCACAGGTAATTCTTTAAGCCAAGTAAACAGTTACAGTGAAATAAAAATATATTAGCCCCTTTCCTGGGAAAAAAAAAAAGAGCGAGTATCTATTCATTATATTTATCTTAGTTTTCACATGAAGTCAAAAGTATGAACATATATTTTTTCACAGCCTCATATTCTTTGGATACCATTACCTCCACATGTAATAATAAGTTGTTAATGAGATGGTGTCATGTGAAATGAATAATTCTTCCCTTATAACTTCTACTTAAATAAAAAATAATAACCCAAAAGCAAAAATTTCAGAAGTATGAATAGAAACATATCAAAGCTTATTTACTTTTCTTTTCACCTGGGATCTGTCTTCTAAGAACTTAAGGTTTAAAAAAATAAATTAGATTTGTGTTCTTTGTGGTCATAGTGATTTCTGCTAAGGGCATAATATCCAAAATAAATGCATTTGAAATGTGATATTTTGTTTATAGCCATGAAATAAATTCTTCTGTATTTATATCTTGCTTATATTTTTTTGGCCTGACTAGTAGTTTTATGGAATCCCAAATTATTCAACTCTGCTGATCTCTCATGTACATCAAAATCACCGATCCATGAATATTTTATATCCCTTCAGCATTCCAATTCTAAAATTACCATTTCATTTACTTTTTTCTATGCAACAATGCTTTAAGATGAGCTTTTTATTGACCTTTAGATAACTAGCACTTTTTCAAAGCATGTTTCAGCTGATAATTTCATAGTCAAGTTTTCTAGGGGAGGACTCTAAAGCTAGGCCATGCAATTATGTCACAAAGTAATCTGTGCCTCACTGTGTGAATTTATGATTTCTCTGAATGTATTGGGTAGATAAAAAGAAGAGTATATATATTTTTAAAAGAACCAAAAATATATTCATAGTAAGTGTATTTATGTAAAGCCACAGGAAATTTATATTAAATGAATATTTAGTTGACTTTATTTAAGCTGTCTGTCAAAAGGGCAAAAGAACCTTCGTCTAACCCATACATTTGTAGGGAACAGAGCTGTTGGCATTTAATAATCACTTCGCCATTCTATGCAATGATCTGAGACTTTATCTGGCAGACTGTGGGCAGAACTGAAGCAATGGAATCAGACACGTCAGACTCTACCACTCAGTATCCATGGATTTAATAGATTGTTGTTGTTCAGTCACCCAGTCATGTCCAACTCTTTGAGACCCCATGGACTGTACCATGCCAGACCTCCCAGGCCCTCACCATCTCCCAGAGTTTGCCCAGGTTCATGTCCATTGCGTCAGTGATGCCATCCAGCCACCTCATTCTCTGACATCCTCTTCTCCTGCTTTCAGTCTTTCCCAGCATCAAGGACTTTTCCAGTGAGTTAGCTGTTTGCATCGGGTAACCAAAATACTGGAGCTTCGTCTTCAGCATCAGTCCTTCCAATGAATATTCAGGGTTGATTTCCCTTAAGATTGACTGGTTTGATATCCTTGCTGTCCAGGGAACCCTCAGGAGTCTTCCCAGTTTGAAATCATCAATTCTATGGCACTCTGCCTTCTTTCCAGTCCAGCTCTCACAACCTTACACTACTCCTGGGAAGACCATAGCCTTGACTATACAGAGCACACTGTCTAAGTTTGTCATAGCTTTCCTGCCGAGAAGCAGTTGTCTTGTAATTTCATGGCTGCAGTCACCATCCGCATTGATTGTAGAGCCCAAGAATAGGAAATCTGTCACTACTTCCACCTTTTCCCCTTCTATTTGCCATGAAGTATTGGGGCCGGATGCCATGATCTTAAGTTTTGTTAATATTTAGTTTTAAGCCAGCTCTTTCCCTCTCCTCCTTCACCTTCACCAAGAGGCTCTTTAGTTCCTCTTCGCTTTGTGCCGTCAGAGCGCTATGATCTGCATAGCTGAGGTTGCTGACATTTCTCCTGCCTGTCTTCATTCCAACTTGTGACTCATCCAGCCCAGCATTGCTCATGACGTGCCCAGTGTGTGCTAGTCGCTCAGTCGTGTCCAACTCTCCATAACCCCGGAGCCCGCCAGGCTCCTATGTTCATGGAATCCTCCAGTCGAGAATAGTGGATTGGATTGCCATTCCCTTCTCCAGGGGATATTTGCAACCCAGGGATTGAACCCAGGTGTCCCATACTGCAGACAGATTCTTTACCATCTGAGGCACCAGGGAAGCTCAATGCATAGGTTAAATAAACAGGGTGACAGCAGGCAGCCCTCTCATACTCCTTTCTCAGTCCTGAGCCAGTTAGCTGTTCCATACAGAGCTCCAACTGTTTCTTCTTAACTCGCATACAGGTTTCTCAGGAGATAGGTAAGATGGTCTGGTATTCCCATCTCTTTAAGAGCTTTCCGCAGTTTGTTATGAGCCACAGTCAAAGGCTTCAGCATAGTCGATGAAACAGAGGTGGATGTTTTTCTGGAATTCCCTTGGTTTTTCTGTGATCCAACAAATGTTGGCAATTTGATCTCTGGTTCTTCTGCCTTTTCGAAACCCAGCTTGGGCATCTGGAAGTTCTTGGTTCATGTAGTGTTGGAGCCTTGCACACAGGATTTTAAGCATGACCTTACTAGCACGGGAGGTAAGTGTAATTGTCTGATGGTTAGAACATTCAAGTACTACCCTTCTTGGGAACTGGGATGAAGATTGACCTTTTCCAGTCAGTAGAAAAGGATTTATTTAATGGATTAATAAGCCCTAAACTGAATAAGGTGAGCAGGGACTAATTTTAAGAGGTTGAATGAAAATTAAAATGAGGCAAAATGTCTGTTGAGAACTATCCTGTGATAATTTGTTACACACAAATGAAGCGTGTAAGTGTGGTTAGTGAAGCAACTTGAAGAGAGTTAGCAGTCCCCCTATGATATTGCTAATAGTAGTTATGTAAGTTTTAAAGCAGTCTGTTGTCCATAAAAGCTTATTTTAGCAAACAGTTATTAGCAAAAAGGCATTGATAGACTCATACAACCTCTTCTGTTAAGTTTGATAACATCCTAGTTCTTGGTCCATTCAGATGTTCCAAACATTACCTTGAAAAAAGGGTTTATTTGAGGCAGATGAAACAACATTCCAGAGCCAAGATTTTTGTTATAGTCAGCATCAGACAACCAGAAATTCTATTAAACTGGCAGTTGGAAATAAGAAGCTTTAGTGATCAAATTTGTGCCACTAATCCTTTGGTGCAAGCTGTGAGCCTCCTTAAGAATTTTGCAACCTGGTCATGCAAAGGTGGGAAATATCTCCAGTATCTTTAGTATTCCACTTACATTTAAAACCTTTAATTTTGTTGACTAAGTTCCATTTATCATGCTAGTTCATAAGTCACTAATTTTGCCAGTAAGAATCCATTTCTGACAAACTGTTGCTAATAAACAAAACGTCCTTAAGATGGGTATAACAAAGGCTTTTGTAGTGCGGCCAGCCTCTGGAGTCATACCTTTCTGATGTAATGTTTGCTGACCACCTAGACTGATTTAGGCTTCTCAATTTGTAATGTAAAATGTTGCATATCTATAAAATCAAACTATGTTATTATAAACTACCTATTTTAAAGTACCTAAAGGTAAGTTATGTACATTTTAACAGCACCTAGTATTTATCAGGTATTCATCAAAAGGTAGTTTTCATTCTGTAAGTGAGAAATTTCATGACCTAGTGGGTTTCCAATTGTCAGTCAAAGTAGTTAATCCAAGGCAATACGGTTTGATCTGGCTACCCACTCCACTCTTCTTACCTAGAGAATTCCATAGACAGAGGAACCTGGTAGGCTACAGTCCAGGGGGTTGCAAGAGTTGGACATGATTGAACGACCACTTTTTTTTTAATCATGATATCTGGTAAAAAGTAAAATATGTTAATGAAGAATTATTAACATGGCATGTCATGGCATAGAAGGGGGAAAAATCAATAAATAGAAAATTTTAAAAGATACAGCAATAGAGCAAGTAATATTTTTTCTTTTATTGTCTTAGAATTCAAAACAGGAGACTCATACCAGCTCAGCCATCATTTGTAGAGACTTTTTTCCTGTCCCTGAGCTCCAATAGAAATTTCCCCTGGGATTTTTACAAATGAGATATTGAATTACCTAATACAATTTTATAGAAAATGCCTAGGCCTTTTGCGCATGGCTACTTCTTAGGTCAACCCTCAATAAAAACTTAGAACTGAATACTCAGTTAAAGCTTAAAGTTAACAGGAAGTCAAAATGTTACAGTTAGAATTTATAGCTTTCTAATGATCTCCTTTTCACTCTTTTATACCCAAGTGTTTCATCAGCAATATCAAGAAAGAACTAAAGGGCCATATATAAAGGTTGCAGCCAGTGTGGAGCCAGCAAGAACAGTAAATACATTTAGTGATTGGGTCTGGATATATGAAAAGAAAA